AAAACTGTTCATCATCACAGCTCTTCAAATATATTTTAATATGAAACTTCTAATTTTCATTTGTACCCTTCTTCATGACTGAAAGAATTTATCACTAGATTTTATTCAAAATGTCAATATATCTTAATACAATCCTAGTACTATCTTAAGATACATGATATCAAGTAAATAATCATGTAAATCCTTTAAAGAGCTTCCAAACATACCAGCAGATAAGGGTTAAGGGCCAAAGTGACTATTGCTCAAAATCAACCCCAATTCATTCTTTTTCAAAGGGCAAATGGAATGAATACCAAGTTTTTGTGAGTTGATACTCACAGGGTGAGAAAAGTTACTTGTTTTCCTCTTTTTAAAAAGACCCCCCCCCCAAATGCAGAAGTATCTCCTCACTGGTAGACCAAAGATGATACCGTTTGTTGAGCTAATGCTTTGATTTGAACCGAACAGTGGATCTAGTATCACTTATCTTCTGAGTTTCATTATAATGAAATTATTTACTGGAGGCAAAAGGCAAAGACCTATTTCTACTACAGAAGTATGGAAACCTCTGGAGGTATGTCCAGGCCAGGATTTACAAATCCAGTACATCAGGCAGCTGCCACCTCTAGTCAACCAAGGTGAAGAGCAAGTCCTAGGCAACCTCCAATACATACAAACACATACAGCACACACCCCAAAATCACCTACAAAGCATCTGATATAACTAAATGAAATCTATCAGCAAAGACTCTAGGCAAAAAATATATCCAGTGATTAAGTAGACTGTTTCTTTTTAACTATGTATGACCAATGACACTACACTTACATAAAAAAAAGGATTTATGCCTTCCAGTATAGAGTGTCCACCTTGGTATACACATACAGACATACACACAAATATATATGTAGATAGACAGATATAACTTATTTTTATATATTACTTATATTTACATATAAGTATGTTACATAATATACAAATATAAGTAACACAGTAGTTCAAAAGAACAGACAGCACGCTACCTAGATCCTTAAGGGTCAGTCCTTCATTCCTTTTAATCTTGGTCTAAATGCAAGCTTTTCAGTAAGGCTCGTGCTGACCACTCCACTCTAAAAATTGCAACAACCTCTTCAATCCTAATCTAACCATTTTCTTTATTCATAGAACTTGGCCTCTTGGCACATACCACAGGGTTTACTGAAAGACTGTGTATATGTGTCAGGTCTCTGGAACAGTTCCTGGCACATGTCAGGTTACAAGAGGTCAACATGTGTTAGCTGAGTGGATGAAGAAGTGACTCTGGGCTCAGACAGACTTAGCCTTGAGCCCCAATTCCACCTATACTAAGAAATGATCATCCTTCTGTACTTGTGCTCTCTGGTCTTGATATAATGGGGAGCATGGGAATGCCTGTCCAGAGCAGCGTCAGGAGGATGACAGGCATCAGTAACTAACAAGGGTTTAGAATCATGCTTGGACACAGTGAGCTTTCAATAAATGTCAGCTGCCATCAGTATTATTTTGTCAAGATAAGTTTCTCAAGGTGGTGATGCCTTGTGATGACTTACACTCTTAGGCAACTGGCTTTCCTCATATCTGACAGCACAGATCTGAGATGGTGAAAAGGGACATGAGGCTCTTTTTGATGGAGGAGCGGAGCTACCAAGGGTCACACCCCATCACTAAAGCTCACCAGCTCCAATCCAACAATACACAAGCTTTTGCAAAGGAGCTGTACTGTGTAAGCATTACAGCCTCAGACCTACTAGAGTAGTCTAAACATAACAATGAAACCTATGAGTGAGGGTGAAGCTCAGGGACCTTAAAAGGCAGAGAAAGCAGTCAGTCTGTTCCTACTTGAACAGAAAGATTTGTTTATTTGGCTTAACTGCAGTCAAAGCTAATGGTCCTAATGGCGTTGAATCACCCCAACTGATTCTCCAGATTTCTCTGCAGGGGCTGTAACTTACACTTTATGAAAGAAGATACAGAGAAAAAACAGCCCTCCGTAAAATAATTTACCAGAACATACTAATCATTTAGACATTCGCTTATGTTTCTAGAAAGCTGAAGATCAGGAATTTCATGGTAAATTTTCCTGGAGCTAAATCCAGGTCTGCCTCAAAGCTGTGAGGACCAAAATTAGACCATTAACTTGAATGTTGACTATTCAGAAAAACAAAGCATTCTGAAAAAATCCATTGACTTCTAACACCTTGAGCTTAGGGAGGAAGGCGGGACTTTAGGACTGACAGAAGAGGAGGTGGGAGGCAGTGAGGTAGACAGAGGTAAAGGGTAAGGGATGGCAGAAGAGGGAGGTGTACTTGCCGATTCCCTGTAGTAAGTGTTGACTTCCCTATTTATTCCAATAAGACATTAATTGCTCTGGTCTCTATGAGAACTCCCCAAACTTTGACACGCACAAGACAAATGTTTCACAGTTCCAGGAAGAACCCAGGATTCTGCATTCAGGAGGAGATCCCCAGTGACCGAGATGCTGCAGCGTAGGAAGTCTCTGCCCCAACTGTGCCTGCCAAGGTGAGCCTCAGGAGCAACATTTTTTAAGGAAAAAGGTCTTTTCCAGGAGCAAGGGAAAGTGAGATTACATAAGAAATAGTGAAATTTTAACCTTTCTAACATCCAACAATATTCGTAACATAAAGGTGGTTTCCATGTCCGTGGTGGCAGCATAAGCTGCAGATTCGTGAAGTGTATACAAATACTAATACTTTCGCGTTGAGTGATCTCTCACTGCGATATGCAGATCTGCATTCGTAAATAATTTCCCCCAGGGTTTCAAGCTCCAAACCTAAATTGCACTAATGCAATAAAAAAGATCTTAATGCTCAGCCTGCTTTGAGAAGAGAGCTACTCTAACCAGGTGGTTTCAGTATCTTTGAAAAAGACACAGATAAAAAAGATGACACTGGCAGCCAAATCCCAACAGACTATTTGCACAGATTTTGCCTTCCGTAAATTCAGTGTAAGAAAGCTTCCCGCGCCCATTTCCACAGGCAGTAGAACCCCCTCAGGAGAGGTTCAGTATAATTGCAGATGAGAAAAGATTTTTTTCCCCAAAGTTCATGTTGTTTCTATTTGTCTATGTTTTCCTCGCCTACCACAGAGGAGTCTTGATGCACTAGAAAAGAGTGGATACAAACTAAACACTGTGTCCCTCCAGCCAAAACTCAGTTACCTCCCCAAACTTGCTATTGGTCCCCTTGAATCAGCTGAGCCCAAGAGCTTTTTCCTATAAAAAGTCCACAGTGTATCTAAATCTGATCCCAGTAAAATTTCACTGGGCTGAAGTGAAAATGCAGAGGTAGCATTTACGGATAACAGCTGGAGAACATTAGTTTCTGTCTCCTTTTCACTCCCAAGGGTTGCAAATTCTGCTGTTCAGACAGGAAGTCGTCATACACCACACACTGCACAATACAAGAATGCTGGGATCGAACAAGTTGCAGTGGATTAGGAGAGGTGGAGGTTGCATTCAAGAACTCAGGGTTGGGACTCTGCGTGCCCCTGGGAGTCAAACAGACAGTTTCCTCCAAACAGAATTCAAGTAGCATGAAGTCTGCACTCAGGGTGTTCACAAGAGAACACTTTACTCCCTGAAAGTTTTCAAATAACTCGGGGTGCGAAGTTGTGCTTTCAATGTTCACCTTTAATGTTTCCACAAATTTTTAAAACATAAACTCCAAGATGTTGGGGGGAGTGGCTAAGATTCTCCAGATTTTTTTTTTTTGCATAATTACACAGCCTCTGTTTTTAAAGGCCACCTTTTTACATTTTTTCAATGAAAATGCGTCCCCAAATTTTCCATAACTGCCCAGGGTAAGGAACTCTGTGTGTGTGTTTGTGTGTATACACATGTCTATGCATACACAACACACACATTTTATCACATGTGTATAACTAATTCGAAACACGATGATCTGGAAAAGAATAATTTAAACGTAAGTTTCTCATGGATCTGGTCTTTCAGGGTCGATTTCTGCAGCAATTTCACAAAACTGACGAGAAAGGAACAGGGACAGAGGGCGCAACGTCCACATTCTGTGGCCACAGCTCCAAGTTTTGAACAGGACGACAAGACATCCCCTAACACCACATGCTCAACAGCTCTTCTGCATGCCTACCAGTTTGCACGCGCTGGACCCAGGGGTAACGCCTGTCCTCTGGGGGCAGACGGGACGGTAAAATCGCCTGTCTCTTCCACTCCCCTCCAGCCAAGCTCACTGAAGACAAACCTTCCTAACTTTTGAACTGCAGGAAATGCCTCTGCCTTGTGCTTATCGGGGGCATGCAGTTAATCAACCGGGTTAGGCTTTATGCAAAGAGAGAGGAGGGGCCAGGGAGAAGCCAACCCACACATCCATCATCCTTTTAGGAGTAGGTGGAGTTTAAAGTTTCCCCAACTTCCAAGTTCCCACTTGACAGGCAATATTTCTGTGCAATTTCCAGCCCCTCGCAACAGATGGTCCTTTGCCCGTCTTGAGCCCCCAGAGAGCCCAGACAAAGCCCCCAGTTACTCCTCGCCTCGCTGGGCCATAGGTGGTCAATTTCACGAAGCTGTCAGCCCAGGGGCAGCGAGCAGAGAACTTAACTTCTTCCAGAAGTTTTTCTCACTACGGGAGAGTCCGGGCCACTGGGGCACAAAGGCCTGGGAAAGTTTTCACTGCGTTATCTTTCAAAAACGTCTTCCACCATGTGCCAGGCGACCATCCTAAGCCCCAGATGCCCAGAGAGGGAAACTGGGGCACGCGTGTTCAAAAACGGGCCGACATGCGATTGCGCCGTCCCCGAGACCAGCCGGGAGGTTGCTTGAGGAGACCCGGTCACGGCGGGAAGCATCCTCGGGGCGCCTGAGCACTCCTGCCAAAGGAGGGTGACGGCGCGGACCCACGGCCAAAAGGGGGTGCGCCACGGCGGCGAGCGAGAACCTTCCTCCCCAGACGGGAGCGCGAGGGGAAGGGGAGGGGGGCGCGATCCGGGAGTCTGAGACGGGCGGCCCACTCACCCTCACTGCCGTACTGTTTGCCATTGTTCGCGCCCATCCTGCCGCCGTCATGCCCGCCGTCTCCCCGGACACTGCATAGCTGGGGCGCACTGCCTGCGCGCTCCGCCAGAGAAAGCCCGCCCGACGGGACCGTTAGCTGCGCATTCCCCACGCTCCGGGACCGATCTCCGGCCGGGGCGGCCCGGCTCTCCGGTGGGAGGGGGCGCTGGGCCCCCTCGCGGCCCCCCCGATGGCTCCGGGCGGGGCGGCCCGGGGCTCCGCTGAGGCCTCCTCTCCCCGCAGGGCCGGTCCCACATCTCCTGCATGCCCGGGACCGTGCGCCGCTGGAACTACCCGCCCCCACTCTGC